GATCCGTTGCATATGAAGCCTACGGTGACGGTGGCTCAAGACGGGAGCGGGCAGTTTAAGAGCATTAACGAGGGACTTGCGGCGTTGCCGAGGAATAATAAGGATTATGTTGTGTTGTACGTGAAGGAAGGGGTTTATAAGGAGCAGGTGAGTGTGGAGTCGGATTTGAACATGTTGGTTATGGTTGGGGAAGGGCCGACTAAGACTAGGGTTAGTGGGAATTTGAATGTGGCTAAAGGAGGTGGGCTTGGCACTTGGGAATCCGCAACCTTCGGTATGATTCCTAACTACATTAGATGCATATATATGTTTAATGTGCATGCATGAAGGCTAAGAAGTTATTTATCTAAATATCAATTGAAAAATAACTTATTTTAACTAAACACTAGTATGAAAAACGTTATTTAGCATTTTCCACTCCTATGTCCTTAAAATATTTGTCCTTCTAAAGCTCTCCCAAAGTCTTCATTTTTATCAATTCAATTTTCAATTTATTGGAGCCTATAATCCTATTAATATGATTAAGGAATAAAATGAATATTAGTCCATTTTTGTAATAAATATATTTTTTTTTCAAGTTATACCTATAGTTGTCAATTGATAATGGGTTAAGTGAGGGGTTAAGAAGAAGAATTTAAATCATCTTTACTGCTAAAAAAGTACTAGATAGACCACTATCTTATCATAGCCGTTGACTTTCTATTGGATGATTATGATTTTGTCTTTCAGTGCAAATTAGGAATTAGTCCAATTCATGGGGGTGTGGTGAATGCTATATTTATAATGAGTTATAATCACTTACTAAATAATTTGATATGTACTGGCACAGTATGGATGATATGAATGAATGAAAAATCAGATAGGATGCTAGTCAAATATCATCACCTTATGAACGACAGATAACTAGGGCTAGTCGACCGATCTAGAGACGCAGATATCACCAGTCGAGATAGGCACGGAAATCACCACTCCAAGGACACTAGCTTAAAGAAATAAATACACACCAACACTCAATGGAATCCACCAAAAAAAATGTAGAGTAACGATAAAGTACATCAGTTAATTTTAATCAAGTCAGCAACTTGCATTTCCATTAGACTAGTAAGATATATTTAAGCTTGAAACAACCCTTCAAGCATGAGAGACTTATGAATCTAGAAATACTTAAATAACAATGGGATATTAAAAAAATCACATTTAACTAATTGAATATAACCTAAAAATTTTAAAAGGCTTCATGTACACCAGATTTAATCTCCATTTAGTATTTTTCAAGATAATATTTTTCACAGAACTCTAAATTCTTTAGAATTAGTCTTGAAAGAAACTAGACTTGCATATATTATCTATTCGACCCTCCAAATGGAGAGTCATTTGGACTCCTCTAAAAAAAAGTTATGACGATCGAGTAGCACGAGAAAGACCCAAAAAATCGATATCTATGAGGAACAGGTGACCCCATAGATTAGAATATTTTTTTATCAATAAAATTTAAGAAGAGTTATGTAACCCCATGGATTAGAATATTTTTATTAATAAAATTCCTCTTTAATATTTTTATCAATAAATATCCTCTTTAAATAGAAAAATAAAATTTAAGAAGAGTCATGTAACCCCATGGATTAGAATATTTTTTATCAATAAATAGAAAAATAAAATTTAAAAAGAGTCATGTAACCTCATGGATTAGAATATTTTTTTATCAATAAAATTCCTCTTTAATATTTTTTCGTGGATTCGAAGTTCTTTGTGGATTTGGAGATCGTTCTTTGTTGATCCAAAGAACAATCATTGGTGGATTCTGAGGTTTATCACTTTCACGCTGCGTTAATTGGTATCAGAGAATTGTTTTTCCGATCGGATTGCAGGCGATGAAGCCCCTATTTCTCAAACTATGTTCGATGAGTTGAAGACCGATGTTAATCAGATTAAGACTGCCATAGATTGACTTGCATCGCCAATGGAGCATCTAAACACAGTAGGAGTTTAAAATTACGTTGATGTTCGCTAATGATGTGATTTGACTCCACAAGAAAAATCCTACAACGATGATCGTAGAGGCTACCTAAGAAAGGAGAACTATGATGCTAGAGGGTTAAAGATACTATCATTCAATAAAAAACTTTATGCTAATGATTTCCTTGATTAGAATGATGAGCTGGATAGATATTTTGGGTATGAGATAGTCCCAGAAGATTGAAAAGTTAGATTAGTGGTTTATAGATTTAAAGGAAAAACATCTGCATGGTGGGATGAAGTATGATAAATCGATACTATCAAGGGAAGGATCTGGTTCGAACATGGGCAAAGATGGAGAAATTATTGAGAGACAATTTCTTGTCTTCTAACTACAAACAATATGGAGTGTCTTTGAAAGATTCTTTTACTTTAGCTGGTACGGTTAATCTAGCAAAAAAGGTGGAGCAAGAACTTGAGCAAAACGGTAAAGGACATTCGTCATGGATGTTTCTAGAGAGTTATCCAACTAGCTATGGTTATGACAAAACTAAGAAACCTCAATTCATCTCTGAGAAAGAGAAGAAACAACAACAAAGACTTCACCAATTATGTCAATCATAGACCCAGAGGCATTTAAGACAGAGATTGCTAAGGAGAAAGTTTCTATAGTGGTAGACAACGAGACACTGGCCATTGAAAAGGAAGATTTTGCCACCATTAAGATTCATCCTGAGGTTTCAGATGTTGATGGTAATATGTTCATGAAGACAAATATTATACATGATATCGTGAGTGAAGTTACACTTATTGATGTTGTCGCAATGGAGGAGAAAGATAAAATAGAGAGTGAGATAATTGATGATATGTGTGAATTGCTTAGTAGAAGGTTCAACGTAAAGGAGATGAAAGAATTGTGTATAGAGTATGAGAGAGGAAATTCCTTTTTGAAAGCAATGATCATTAATAATTTCAATAATGATGAAGTGATACCGTCGACACTAGAATATGAGAAGTAACAAGGAAAATATTTAGAGAAGTTTTTCATGTCAACTACAGAGTCACATGCTGCCAGTTACATACACATACCTTGGGAAAGATTCATACACAAATTTGATATAGAAGAAGTCCTAGCGGAGGAGGTAAAAGAACAAATAGAGAAAATCAATGCTAAATACAATGCGGATGCTGATCGATGGAGGAGAAAATTTATCACTGAAGCTACTATTCAAGCAAATATAAGCTCAGGGACGAGCTTCTTTTAACAAGGGGAGACTGATGTAGGATGCTTAACAGATAATTTTATAGAGGAGTGAGACAATAGTGAGCTAAATACAAACTCATACATATTGTTACTTTCGCAAAGAAACAACCATATTTCCTAATCCGAAAGACGAATTCTAACATATTAGATATGAAAATCGCATATCTCGACAAGACGGAGTCAATTAGTTTGGCAGAATCCCACAATCCCACCAGTAACACTCACTTTTGGTAGAATTTTAGAAATAATCAGCCTTTAGTTTATTTTTAATAATAAAGTTAGAGTCAATTTAGATTAGGAAACAAAATCAACTTGTATCCCAGACTTTGGTCTGGCTGCTTTGATGTACTTAATTTTTAAATTTGGGAAATGAATAAAGTTTAGTTCATTTAGCGAAAAAAAATCAACTTCGATATAATTAGGACTGGTTTGTTTCCTATATTATAGAGAGTCTTTTTAGAATAAGATCTGTTACTTTCGATTTTTTTATAATTTTAGTTTTACTATGTTTTATGTATGTGCAATGCACATAGTAAAATACTATGATTAAGTATATTTGGTTTATTTCCTTCCTAAATTTTGTTCTTCAGTTTCACTTTGATTGTTTTTGCTTACTTATATCTCTAAAGTTTAGCATTGTGATTATTTATTTTCTTTAATATTTATTTAAATGAGCTACACCTAATTTAAAATTTTTATGTTGATAATTGAATTGATATGAAATAAATGTAATTTGAAATTAATTTGAATTATCACATCATTGAGACTAACATGAGAAAGTCGTATAACATTATAAAAGTGAAAAACACTTAAAAAAATAGCATTCTAAAAGGAAAATAAATAATTAAAGCGAATAAGACAAGATGATTGGTTAAAAGTGGGCTAAAATAACACAAAAGATAATATGAAGTTTGTTCCTAATCATTGATAGACTTTAAAAAATTATAAACTGAAAATTAATGCTAACTTTAGTATACTTTTATATAATAAAAGTATCCACATGAGCATATAAAAGAAGTACTATTTTTTTAATAAAACCCCTTCTAAATATTCCTAATTTACTCAAAAAAAACTATTCTATAAAATATTCAAAAAATAGTGCCTTTCATTCTCTCTATTTTATATTTTATTAAGGCGTTATCAATCCTTATCCACCTTTACCTTTTTTGATAAAATTAGATTATTTTTAGATGCCAAAAAAGATAATAAAAACTTAAATTAGAAGTTAAATTTGTATATCTTAATGAAAGAACATCAAACAACTACTCTTTTTTTTAGGTTTTGAGAATTTAGTTGCTTTTTTGTGATTTTGAATTTTAACGGTGTATTTTGCAAATTTTAAAAATTTGAAATTAGTTTTTAAAATTTAAAATATTAAGTTGGGTGCTTGTAATTTTCATGTTTCACGTGCTAGTCGTAAGTTTTCGAATGTTAGAATATTTCTTGCAACTTTGAATGTTGAGGGTATATTTTTACAATTATTAAAACTTTAGATTATTTGTTGCAAAATTTTAATTTTTAGCGGTCTGCTGATAATTTTGAGATTTGATATGTATTGGTTATAAGTTTTTAAATTTTAAGGTTTTATGTGATATTTAAATTTTGAAAGAGTTTTTTATAATTTTTATAACTTTGATGTTCTTTTTTATAAATTTTAAATTTTTAGTACCCGATGGTAATCTCTTGAAGTCATCTTTGTTAGTAAGTTTTAAAATTTTAGAATTTCAGGGTACTTTTTTTATTATTTGAACTTTTGAGGTGTTTTTATACTTTTCAAAATATTGAGGGTGTTAATTATAAATTATAAACTCTTCAATGGCTATTGATTTCTTCCTGATATTATATTTTTTGTTTTAAGTTTTAAAATGTCTGGATGTTTTGTGTAATTTTAAACTTTTAAGGGAGTTTTGTGCAATTTTTGAAATGTTTTGGGGTTTTTTGTAATGCTTCATATATTATAGCATATTAATTCCTTACCTTAACAGACATATACAATGGAGCTATTTCATGTATTTTATTAACTTATTTTTTAAATTATTAGCTTGTAAGTAGTTCACATGGGATTAGGATAGGATATAATTATCACTAGGATAGATTAAAATGTAAATGAAATATTCAAAATAGTCAAATATAATATTCAAAATAATTTTTATAACTTTGATGTTCTTTTTTATAAATTTTAAATTTTTAGTACCCGATGGTAATCTCTTGAACTCATCTTTGTTAGTAAGTTTTAAAATTTTAGAATTTCAGGATACTTTTTTTATTATTTGAACTTTTGAGGTATTTTTATACTTTTCAAAATATTGAGGGTGTTAATTATAAATTATAAACTCTTCAATGGCTATTGTTTTCTTCCTGATATTATATTTGTTGTTTTAAGTTTTAAAATGTCTGGATGTTTTGTGTAATTTTAAACTTTTAAGGGAGTTTTGTGCAATTTTTGAAATGTTTTGGGGTTTTTTTTAATGCTTCATTTATTATAGCATATTAATTCCTTATCTTAACAGACATATACAATGGAGCTATTTCATGTATTTTATTAACTTATTTTTTAAATTATTGGCTTGTCAGTAGTTCACATGAGATTAGGATAGGATATAATTATCACTAGGATAGATTAAAATGTAAATGAAATATTCAAAATAGTCAAATATAATATTTATCATAGAAAGATTTTTTTCGAACTTTTACTTTTAAAGAGAGTATGATTAGGAGTCTATTTTATTTTTCTATGTAAGAAGAGTCAAGTAACCCTATGGATTAGAATAATTTTTATTAGTAAAATTCCTCTTTAATATTTTTTCCGTGGCTTCGAAGTTCTTCGTGGATTCGAAGATCGTTTTTTGTGAATTCAGAGAACAACCCTTGGTGGATTTCGATGTTTCATATCCGCGCTGCGTTAGTTGCCCATGCCATCGCCATCTACTCTGAAGCACGCTACAGAATTTAGCCTCCAAATCAAAATCTGAGATCTATCTGTTAAGAAAAATGGTAAGTGTACTACCCTTTGGTATTACTTTGGTGCTACCACTCACAAAAGAGTGGACTCCTCACTTGAAAATTATTGTGGTGAGTCATCATGACCCCACTCTTTTGCGAGTGGTAGTGCCAAAGTGGTACCAAATAAGCAGTATACTTATCATTACTCATCTATTAAAGCCTGTTTGTAGAAAACTTAAAACCCCTAGATTACTTATACAACAAATTCAATCCCACATGTGATATTTCCATTGAAAAAGAAACAAAAAAGATCCAAATCTTCAGCATTAATGATTCACAAATCTCCCCACTCAACACAAATTTGTACTAATTAAAGTCACCCCACACCAACCTGCTATGTCATTTGCAAAGGATGCTACCTAAAAATTTATAGTCGTTTAAAAGGTGATGGGCCTTTCTTGGGGTGGATAGAGACTGTGCGATAGAGCAGTGAGGTTAATTTAACCTTATTGAATAAAAAAGAGAAAAAAAAATCACTATAATTAGTGGTTTCAATAGGGTAGTGGGCGTAGAGCTGGGTTTGAGGGATTGCTTATACTTTTTTAATTCCACAATTGCCCCTTACATTATTTTCTTGCTTGTCGAACTTCGAAATTGAAATGGTATAACTTTATTGCCATGTCACCGGTCCCACGCAATGGTCCTATTTTTCGGGTCCAAAAATAATTACTCAAATACAAAAGGGTTAAATAATCTTTCTATTCATAATGGAAATAGTCATAATCCTCATTACTTACCATCGACATTTTTTGACTCGCCAGCGGTTATGGCTCCCGACTTCATGGCTCGGGACATAGGCTTCGAGAATACGGGCTGGTCGCCGAAGGCCACCAAGCCGTCGCATTCCGGTGCCAAGGTGACCAAGCCATCCTCTTCAACTGCCACTTCGACGGCTACCCAAGACACCCTCTACGCTTCAGCAAACGCCAATTCTACCCGCGACTGCACCATCACGAGGTACCGTCGACTTCATCTTTGCAACGCCTTCGCCCTCTTCCAGAACTGCAACATCATCGCCCGCAAACCCGCTACCCAACCAACAGAACATCCTCACCGCCCACGGCAGCAAGTGGGAGAACGAGAGCACCGTCTACGTCATCGCACAAGCTGCTCCGTCTTCGCCGAGCCTGCCCTCGTCCCTTTCATCGCCCAAAATCCTAGTTTCCTCGGCCGACCGTGGAAAGAGCGAGCGAGGACTATTTATATGCAATCGTATATCGGCGACCTTATTCATACGGACGGTTGGATGCCGTGGGAGAACGAGCCAAAATCGATAAATACTTGCTTGTATTCGGAGATCGATAATTATGGGCCGGGAGCGAAGAAGGAAGGAAGAGTGAAGTGGCCTGGGATTAAGGATATTAACATTAAGCACGCCGATATGTACACCTTGGATGTTTTGTATCAAGGAGCCGAATGGGTGAAGAAATCGGGAGCGGCGTTTTCCCCCGGGATGTTGCCGCCCTCGTCGCCGAACCAGCCAGCACCTCCGGCTCCCATGGTTACGCAGATGCAGGTGGATCCGATAATTACGGGCCCGATACCGCCGAAGAGAAGAAAGTAATTGACAAGGAAGATTGAATATTATGTACCTGGTTGTTATATATATGTGTGTAGTGTATATTCTTTTTCGGGCGAATAAGGGTCTTGTAAGTTTTATTAGATTACAAGATAGATTAGAATTTCATAATCTCTGTTAGAATATAAAATTATAACTCTCCATCTTTAGATTGCTTTTAGATTTTTGGGAGAGTCGTTAATTTGACCTAGTATCGGAGCAACACATATTTAGTTCTCATATTAGCCCCGAATTGAGGAGAATGTTAATGAAATTATTATCACTGCGCGAGTTTAAATTTTTGTTCATGAAAGGGCGTTCAATTGGTAGGAATATGCTAGAATATAAAATTATAATCCCTATCCTCACAACTTTAAAATTTTGGTGTATAGCGTAAGGGTCCTTTGAGGGAATTTAATCCAAATAGGACCGGTCTTGGCACATAAGTCATACATAACACTATAGAAACATTTTGCTCGTGTTGTCACCAGTGGATGTAGTTTTTTTGGTTTGCATATCTGATTTCTTTATTCCCTGTGATTTTTTATTATATGCCCAAATTGATGAATTTCACTAATTTTTTTAGTTTTTCACTTAACCCCTACCCCCAATAATGGTTGTTTATAATTTTTAATTTTTACATGGATGTATTTATAATATATGAACTTAACTTTTTGGTGGTTATTTGTAATTTTGGAATTTTAGGGGGTTGCGTAATTTTCAAAACTTTAAGGGTGTAGGCCACCCCACTCGGCCGATCTTATGGATCGACAAGTTGTGTAGCAGAGTCAAAAGGCGGTGCTTCTCGGACCTAGACCAAACAAACATAGATGCAGCAATTACCTCGAACCCTTCACTAGCCAACTGCTCTCACATTAACTGCTCTAACAAAATCATCATTACTCTAGCCCCCATTATGAGTCATCGGGCCTAGTCAACGCCAAGCACATGCTGTCATTCCCTCATTAAATAACCATATGACTCACTTTCTTCCACGACCGACACCTAGAAGGTATCTGCCAACTCAACAGCCTGCCTAGACTCAATCAAAGTTACCTTCATACCCCTCTGATCTGCTATAAAATAGAGCTATGCTACATGGGGTAACTTCTTCAAGTTTTTTAAAATGTGGACAAAGCATGAGAGTTACATGCATACTGTCTCCTCTGTTTGGCAAAGCTCAATTTCAGGATGCACAATGTATTCTGTAGTAAAAAAACTGAAGCTTCTGAAAATTGCACTGAAGGATCTTAATAAGAGGAATTTTCACAATATCAGTGAACAGGTGATTAGAGCAAAAATGAATCTGGATATTATGCAAAGCAATCTTCAAAGGGATCCTCTAAATTCAGATTTGATAAATCAGGAAAAAATATGCATAGCTCAATATAATAAGCTACTGGAATGCGAGATGTCTTTCTATCATCAGAAAGCTAGAATTCAATGGAATGTGAAAGGGGACAGATGCACTAGTTTTTTCCACTCTGCCATCAAAGCAAAAAGACATCAGAATAGAATTATGGTGCTGTACAACAGTGCAGGGAATAGAATCACTGAAGGGAATGATATTATCAATGAGTTGGTGACTTTTTACAAAACTCTTTTGGGCACAACTTCTCTTACATCAAAACCTGATCTCAATGTTCTTCACTGTGGTCCTTGTCTAAACAATGCACAAGCTGATACTCTATCTACTCCAGTTTCCAGGGAAGAAATCAGAACTGCAGTCCACTCTATGTCAGAAAACAAAGCTCCTGGTCCTGATGGATATAGTATGTCCTTCTACAAATCTGCATGGAGTGTTATTGGGGATGAAATATCATCAGCAATTGAAGAATTCTTCAAAACTGGTAAGCTCCTAAGTGCAGTTAATGCTACAGCCATTACTTTGATTCCAAAAGTGACCTGTCCAAAGACTCCATCTGATTTTAGACCAATTGCTTGTTGCAACTGCATCTACAAAATTATCTCTAAAATTCTTGCTAACAGGATTAAGCCTATTATGGGGTATCTTGTAAATGAGGCACAAAGTGCCTTTGTGAAAGGAAGACAAATTTCTAGCAATATTCTTCTTGCTCATGAGTTAGTTAAGAATTACAATCGGAAACATATCTCCCCCAGGGTCATGTTAAGTATTGATATCAAAAAAGCCTTTGATACTATTAATTGGGATTTTTTAAAAGATATGTTAACAGGGCTTGGGTTCCCAGTTAAGATGATAAACTGGATCATGGCTTGTATATCCTCTCCCAATTACTCTATTTCACTTAATGGCTCACTTCATGGCTTCTTCAAGGGAGAAAGAGGGTTAAGACAAGGTGACCCCTTATCTCCTTATTTGTTCATTTTGGGGATGAAGTACTTATCCAGAAATCTGTCCAAGCTTAAAGATGACAGATCTTTTAAATTTCACCCTAGGTGTGGTGAGCTTAAGATTACACACCTTATCTTTGCTGATGATCTATTGCTCTTTTCTAAAGGAGATTTTCTTTCAGTGAGCAAGCTCTTCAATTGTTTCAGAGATTTCAGCAATGCATCTGGTCTGGAAGCAAATGTTGATAAATGCAAAATCTTTTACGGAGGAGTTGATGACAACTTTAAAAATGCTGTCAGGAACATATTGAATTTCCCTGAGGGTGCATTGCCTATAAAATATCTTGGTGTCCCTATGATATGTAAGAGGTTGTCTTTTGTGGATTGCTCTCCTCTCCTTAAAAAGGTTTCTGATCAATTTCAGGCCTGTATGAAAAATAGGGGGTTGTCTTATGCAGGAAGATTATAAATTATCAAGAGTATAATGCTCGGTATTCAAATCTACTGGACATCTAATTACCTCTTACCAGTGAGAGTTCTTAAGAAGCTTGATGAGATGTGCAGGAAATTCTTGTGGGGTAGTTCTGAGCAGGCTCAAAAATTTCCTCTCGTTTCTATAATGGTGGACTGGGTATATTTTTAGTTCTAATCTGGAATTTTGCTTCTATATTGAGAACCCTTTGGCACATCCATATTAATAAGGAAAGCTTGTGGATTAAGTGGATTCATAGTACATATTTAAAGCAATGCGATATCTGGACAGTTCGAGGAAAAAATGGGAACTCTTGGCTATGGAAACAGATTCTGAAGACTAGAGATAATGCTCTGAGGATTTTTAATGGAGCTGATAACCTGAAGCTACTCATCCAATCCTGTTGTAGGAATTCAGTTGTAAGTGTATCAGCTCTCTATACTGCTCTTTCCCCTGTTTCAACTTCAGTACCATGGCACAATACAATATGGGAGACCACCAATATCCCCAGGCACTCGTTCATCAGCTGGTTGGCTATCCAAAATAGATTGCTAACTCAAGACAGACTCAGCAATTGGGGGGTTGTATCTAATAATAGCTGCTGCTTATGCTGTGCTTCCAGACAAGAAAGTAGGGATCATCTCTTTTTTGATTGCCCATTTTCGATGAGTGTTTGGTCCAAGGTCATGGAATGGTTAAAATTCAAGTGGAGGTCATGTGTATGGGATCAAATTAGTGTCTGGTACTGCTTCAGGTTGAGAGGAAGAGGTTTCAAACAGAAAATCAAAAGAATGGCCCTCACCACTTCAATTTACAGCATATGGATAGAGAGGAATACTAGAATTTTCAAATCAAAACACAAGTCAGCTGATCAGGTTTTCAAGGAGATCAAGTTTAGCATTTTTTCCAGCATACTCAATGGCCCTTTCTCGGAAGTTGACAGAGCATGGTTATGTTCTGTGTGATTTGAGTTTTGTGAGTTTTTGATATTGTTCGTGTATTCTCAGTTGCTGAGCATTTTGCTGCGCTGATCTTTCAATTTAGAAATGAATAAAATATTTCATTTACCAAAAAAAAAAAATTCTTCTACGTTTTGGCAACTTAATATCTACTTACACTCTTTGTCCTTGATTTTCCCCCTCATAATCAAAATATTGACTTAATCATTGGAGGACCAACCGGAGAACACAACTCTACCTTCTCACGAGTTTTTAATATGCAGGGACTGACAATAGTCTCTAGAACCAGTCATCTGAAGAAGTTTGAGAATCCTAAACATTCTCATACCTCTGACATGAACCACCTATTTGATAACTGACATCAACATCAGGAAATTGTTTATAGTTTTTAGAATTTTCAAGGAGTTGTCTACAATTTTTAAATTTTAGCCTTAAAAAATTATGAACAGTCACAAGACAAATTATTGAGATTTAAGAGATTAATAAAAAAAACCATTGGTCTCTCTTTTATATGTAAATGAGAACAGAATTAAAAATATGATTATTAGATTTTGTTTTTTTATAAATATGGACAGTTATGAGCTTATTAACTTTGCTAAATATTTAATTATAATTAGAATTTGCTAATTATGGATAGATTTAACTTGATGAAGATTTTTAGATAGATATAAGATTAGGTGTCCACACACCACCTTCTATGTGTGTCCACTTGTCAAATTTTTAATATGACACATGTTAATTTTTTGTGTGTTTAGAAGTAGCATCTATTTCTCTTTATATATAAGATAAGATAAGAAAGGTGGGATGCCACTAAACTATTTTTCTATTATTAAAATTTTAGGGATAACTCTTATTTATTAATTTACTGCAACCAAGGAGCAAATTAATAACCAATATTACTTCACGACACACGACTACAAACTTTTAATACTCAGGCAACAAAAAGTATAACCATGCATAGCCATCACCATCAGGAGCACTCTCTTTATTCGAACTCACAACACCAAATTAGAAACCTAAGCATATACTTAAGCGTAGGCAGTTGGGTTAGCGAGGAGGTAAGCTTCAGCTGCCTTGATGTGGTGGGTTACACCCTCTTTGGCCTTTGCACTCTCAACGGTGACACCAGGGAGAAGCTTGTACGTTGCGGTCACCTTGACAATGCATCCGTTGTTGCCTGATGGCTCGAACTTGAAGTGATTGGAGGCCGATTCAAACTGCTTTCCCAAACCTCCGCCTTCTACAAGGGTGTTTTTCACCTCGAACTTCTCATGGTCTACGAAATCCAGGCGCTCCTTCAGGTAGTTGAAAGGTAGTTCTACCATTTAAAAAAAAAGATAAGTATAATGACATCATATTGCTATCGAAGATTATATATATAGCATTCAATTTAGATTGTTAATTATTGTACTGAAAATTAGAATTGGATAAAGGTTGATGGTTTTATTTATTTATACTCCAAATGTCTTTGCAAGTTGAATATGTTAAATGGGTCAGCACCGGCCCATGCATGTACATGTATAAAACTAGGTAGGTGCAATAGTTTGTACCAACCTCTCACCTACTCTAAATAGTATACACATGATCAATCCTCTATAAAAGGAGAAGGCATCGAAGGGAAGGAATATCCCAAGCCAGTGAAAGAAAAATCAAATAGAGCGAGGGAGCTTGTGGACCCTAGTAGCAAAATAGTGGGAGAAATTAAGAAATAAAGAGCGGGAGAGAGGGATCGAGTAAGAGAAATAGTATATGTGTTGTAAAATAGTGTAGTAATGAAGTAGTTTGTAGGAGAGGGAGTATTTGTATTAGCTAGAGAGACTATTGACTATTGTACTACATAAAAAAATAATAAAATATTTCTTAGTGTCTACTAGTCTTCTCAACTCAACAAGTGGCGACAGAGCTACTCTCACAAATCAACAAAACCTCTTTCACGGACTGTAACATGGACTTTTGTAATGACATATTTTTAAATATGTTTTGAAAATGTTGTTTTAAAGGCTTGAATTTGAGTTGCTTTAGTTTCATCTTAAAGCTTTTTCTAATGCATCTAATCTGGGGACACAAATAATGGATCAGATGGATATGATACTAAGCATATATCGGCTCTTTGATCTGTTTACTAATGCGAAGGCAGACATAAGTTTTCGTGGATGAGAAAAATGTTTACCTGAGTCCGCATTAACTTGGAAATCGGTACAAATTATACACCATTACGTATACGCTCTGAACATTAATTTGCGGACTCATACATGAGCTACTCTGAATATAATTTATGTGTCAGTAACTCATACCAGGGTTACTCATCTTGATCTCTCTGACGCTTCCAACAGCTCCACCTCCGGACACAACAGAGCCACTGGCGATGAAATCCGGCACAATCTTAGGGCCGAGGTTGTGCCAGTCGAGCATCGCGGCCTTGAACAGCTTCCCTGCGGGGACATTGGCAGCTACCTCGTGGCTCCAGCTTCCTGAACTCATGTTTTTCTTTCTACTGTATGTTTAACTCTCTATGCGAGTGAAGAATGTGCAGAGAGTTGAGCAAAGGCTCGGCCTTTTATAGAGTAGTTTTCGAGATGGTAGGTGCCATTTGGTTGATATTTCAAAGGTGTGGCTGCCTCTGACACGTGTAAAGATAACATTCCATTTTCAAAGTCAAACAAACGTCTGGAGAGCTGAAGCTTGGCTGCCTCTTGGCTGCCTCTGGCGCGTCGCAAAGGATGAGGACGTTTGGGTGTGGAAAAGAGGAAAAAGTGGTTTCTTGAAAAAAAAGGACAAATATTTCAGCACGTCATGAGGAGAAAGATGATGACTGTTACACTAGGCTTCTAGAATCCCCCCCCCCCCCCCCCTTCCCCCTTTTTTTCCTTTCCTCCTAATACTTCTCTGTAATAAGGGAAACTAGTTCTTGGTCGAATACTATGGATGGATCCATATGTTGGATTTCACTGAAGCAAATTAGTTATTCAATTGAAAGAAATGAACTACATTCGTATAAAGAAATATTTTTATATACTTAGTCAACTAAGTTAAACTTAGTGTACACCCTTCCTTATTCACACAATATTTACGTTGGATTCAGATCCTCTCCACTATCTAAAAAGTAGTAGATGGACCACTACATAATCACAACCATTGATTATCTAGTTGGTGGTTGTGATTTTTTTCTTTGAGTGCAAATTAGGAATGAGCGCAATACACGGGGGTATGATGAGTATTAGATTTAGATTGTATCATAACCGCCTACTAAGTAATCAACGATTGAGATTAAAAGCAGTGGTCTCTCCACTACTTTTTTTATAGTGGAGAGGATCCAAATCCATTTACGTTTTCTTGTGATAACCACGAATCACATATTTATGTGCATAATACATGAACTTAATTAAGTACAAAAATTAACAGCTTAAGATACTTTGGAGGGAGAACCCAGTAAGTATTCGATAATGATATTAGCTAGTTAAGGCACCGAAAAAAGGTTGGCAAATAATTGATATGGACGGTTCGTTCTGACCTTGACCAGTTTGGTACCTTTATTGTGTGTGTACGTACACACACACACACCGGTGATCGTATCTCTCATCTGCTTAAAGCATTCTTTGACAATTGTTGCAGGCACAATGAATGCACCTTCTAGATGAGGGCTGAAAAGGCTGATAATGCACCTTCTAGATGAAGGCTGACTGAACGAGTTGTTGGCAAATAGGCACTTGATTATTTGAACACGTAACTTTAATAATTTCCGTCAAAATGTGAAGAGGAATGATTGTACTTATAGTGCTTATTAACAGTCTCTGAGAGTGGTCATTCTAATTTATTTAAGATTAATTATTCATTAAGATGGTGAATCTGAGGATGATGATGTAGAATGGAATAAAAATGGAATGATTAATTAAAATGGAAGAGTACTTCTAAAATATAATGTGATTGTAATAACTATGAAGTTGAGGGCAAAATTTTATAGAACAGGAAAATGACTAACACTACTTTTGGATTAGAATTTTGGCAATTAAACAATAACAAGGATAAGAAATGAGCATAGCAGAAATGAGAATGTTACAATAGTCTTGTGAATATATATACTAAAGATAGGATAAGAAATTAGTGTATTTGTTGTTAGGACGTAGTCAATACAATATCTCTTGTTTGACAAATAAGAAACTCTCACGTGGTACTAAAATTTATTTGAGATGTTATAGTACAGGTAAATACATGTATAAAAAATGTATGAGGTATGAGAAATGTACAAGGTGGGTGATGCGAAAATCATCTCAACAGCTAATTTTAGAACTTCTACCATCGATGGTAAGACTTAACTGTTGATGGTGAAAAGTGATCATCGAAGATCAACTTGCGTCATTGATGATTTTCACTCCAAAAATATTCATAGCACCGGTAGGCTTCTCAACTATTGATAGTCTCTCGACACCATCAATGGTTTAGAGGTGTCATTGATGGTAAAGATGGCATATTGCATATTTTCAGACTTAATCTCAGTCGTTCGTTGTTTACGATATCTCCAACCTCTACCATGTTTAGGATATTTCTTTCTTAACCTATTGGAGAGATTGTATCATTGAAGAGAGAGAGAGAGAGAGAGAGAGAGAGAGAGATGATCAGGAATTCTAGGGTTTGGTACTTGAGAGATAGAGCTGATAGTTTTGATTCCCTGGGACCTCATCAAACTCTCAGTAGTCGTACTCAACATCTTTATATAGTTTCAGCGAGAAAAGTTACCGTCAGTTTGATCTTTTTCATCATTCTTCATCAACCAGCTTATATCTTTCAAGGGGTAGTTTGCTTTATCAAAAGGACCGTATCATCATTTTTTTTATTCTGAGCTTACTTGTTTGTGTTTGGTTTTGTTTTGAACTTCTTTACAGTGTATTCAAGTCTGTTAAATTGAGAGTTATGACTAGTTAGGATTAAGTGCTACTCATTGCGGGAGTTAGGTTGGATGATTGGTTTTGAATAGATTCTGGGGTGCAGTCTTGTAAGCTGCTGAATCGGGCTTGGTTTTTTCATTCAGGAGAATTCTTTGTATAGTGAGAAAACCACTTCATAAGAAGGAAGATTAGACATATGATTGCCACTATAAAATCTCATGTCTTTTTTGGTTAGTTGTTCTTAGTGATTATTTTATTTCTTTATATTGTTTGTCACTTTTATTTTATATATTCTGCTGCATAATTTGTGCTTCTGATGAGTAACAATAACAATCTTATTTAACCCCCTCTAGGCTGACATCTCAGTCCTCTTTGAACTCCATTATGATTTTCTATTTAAACAAAGTATTTTAAATCTCAGAGGTAGTACCTTTGTTGATGTCAATTATTAAACAAGGGCTTTATGTTGGAGTTATGAGAGTGTTTAGGGTCCTCAAACTTCTTCAGATGATTGGTTCCAGGGCCCGTTGTTCATCCCTGCACATGAAAAACTTGTGAGATGGCGAAGTTGGGTTCTCTGGTTGTTCTTCCAACGATCAAGTTAGTATTTTTATCTTGAGGGGAAAATTAAGGACAAAGTGTGTAAGTAATCATTAAGTTGATAAAACGTAGAAGAAGTTACCTCATGCAGTGTAGCGCTCTTTTATACAAGATTAGAGGGGTATGAAGGTAACTATGGTCGAGTCCAGGCAGGCTGCTAAGTCGGCAGGTACCTTCCTTGTGTTAGTCGTAGAAGAAAGTGAGTCATCTGGTTACTTAATAAGGGAATGACAGCAGATGCTTGGAGCTTACTGAGACTAATGAGTCATAAAGACTATGGGGGTTAGAGGAATAATGATTTTGTCAGAGCAGTTAATGTGAGAGTAGTCAGCTAGCGAGAGGTTCGAGGTAACTGTCGCCTCTCTATATGTTTGGTCTAGGACCGAGAAGCACTGTTTTTTGACTAGGCTATGCAAGTTGTCGGCCCATAAGATCAGCTGAGTGGGGTGGCCGACAAGTACCACTTTTTGACTCGGTCACGTAAGTTATCGGCCCATAGGATCAGTCGAGTGGGGTGGCCAATAAGTACCACCTTTTGACTTGGCTACACAAGTTGTTGGTCCATAGGTACGGCCGTGGAAGTAGTTTTCAATCGTCTTGGCATCAATTTGTGTAATTTAGGTAAGGAGTAAAACACGTGTCGGTTTCTCTAGGGAGATTAGTACTTGTTAATTTTCTAGCTTATAACATCTTTTTATTAATAAACTTCCTCTTTTATATTACTACGTGGATTCAAAGTTATCTTTTTTTTGGGTTAGAGAATTTTTTTTTCTTATTGGATTTTTTGGACTCCAAACTTTTGCTTCAGTGCTGCGTCAAATTAATATACACAATGGTTATAACTAGTGAAACTTTTATTATCCCTATACCGAGAAGAACCATTCATAAGATACTGAAGAGGTTCCGTCTGATGAGAAATATATATTTATCATAATTATGAAGCAAATAAGCATGGATTCAACACACCATCACAACTGACGGACTCATACAGTACTCAATATAATCATCAACAACCCTACTCCAATTGGTCTCCTTATTCAAACTGATCACAACATCAAAACAGAAACCTAAGCATATGATTAATTTAAGCGTAGGCAGTTGGGTTGGCGAGGAGGTAAGCTTCAGCTGCCTTGATGTGGTTGGTCATGCCCTCCTTTGCTTTTGCACTCTCATCGGCAATACCAGGGAGAAGCTTGTAGGTCGCGGTCACCTTGACGATGCATCCTGCATTGCCCGATGGCTCGAACTTGAAGTGGGATGTGGCTGACTCAAACTGCTTTCCCAAACCTCCGCCTTCAACAAGGGTGTTCTTGACTTCGAACTTGTCATGGTCGATGAAATCTAGGCGTTCCTTCATGTAGCTGAAAGGAAGTGCTACAACATACAAATGAAGAAAAGAAAAGAATGAGAACATGATACACACTCGGGTCTCTAGAAAGATTTTACAACATAAAATTCAGACAACATCAAAACTGTAGAGTTATAGTAAAAATTGAGTGTTATACATTTATACTCTAACATGGCATCTTTTTAAAATCTTTAAGCTCGTGTTAGGTGAACTTGAGTTGCTCTTACACCATGTTCAAAGTTTCTTCTAGTACTCTAGAACTGCAAACTAAGTTACGGCGAGGTCGAAAGTTATAAGTTTGTACTCTTAAGAAATAGCAATTACCAATACTGAAGGCATAATAATGGTACATAGATGTACATAGAAATATTGAAAAGTTCTAACCATTGTTGCTGATCTTGATCTCTCTGATGCTTCCAACAGCTCCCTCTCCTGAGACCACAGAACCACTGGCGATGAAATCCGGGACAATCTTAGGGCCGAGGTTGTGCCAGTCCAACATCGCGGCCTTAAACAGTCGCCCTGCAGGGACATTGGCTGCGACCTCGTGGCTCCAGCTTCCAGAACTCATTTCCCCCTAGTTATCTGTTGTATTAGTACTATGATTGAATATTAGTTCTCTTCGTGAGTGATGGATGTGCAAAGACTTGAGCATATGGGTTGGCCTCTTATAGAGTATTTGGAAATTGGTAGGTGTACGTGCTTCGCA